CAGCCATTGGCTATGTGTGTTTTAAAAGAAAACTTGATGTGGGGATGGTTCACTGATAAAGTGCTTCCTATGCACACATGAGGACCAGAGTTCAGACTCGCAGCATCCGTGTAAAGCTAGATGCAGAGATGCATGCCTGAGATCTCAGAACAGGGAAGGAATAGGTGGTGAGATCTCTGGAGCATGCTAGCCAGTCGGTCTAGGCCAATCGCATAATAGATCAAATAAAACAAAACCTTAATTGTAGTTCTGTAGAATGAGATAATAGAATAAAATAAATTGAACAAAATAAAAAGTAAAAAGTAAAATCACGAAATAAGCAAAAGTCATTAGGTGAGGAAACAATTCAGAAACTGATTTTACAATGACATTACACAGAAGATTCTAGGCAGTCAGTCCAATGTTCAAAGAAATACTGAGCTCTTTACATACTGTCTGAACCAGGACAGGATTCCACAGCCCACTGTACAACATGGCAGTAAAGGCTGGGGTCACAGCATTAAGTAGAACAGCCGACCTAACAGACACCACGCAGGCTAGAGGAGACCATTTAAAAATGATGTCAAAGACTTTGAAATGGCATTCTCTGACCTTTTCAGATCAGGTGCCCCTTCTGTCCTGGATCCAGCACATAGCCCAGCGTCCTGCCACTAGACTTCACCCAAGAAAAGAGACAAATATGAATGATCAGTGCCCGCTCTCCTGCTTCCTCAGCAGCGGCAGACGGAAGCCGAGTTTTAAAGGGGTTTCAGCGTTGAGGTCATAGGTTAGAAAAAGAGCATACTGCCTCATGAATTTCAAGGGTAGCAGCATGGGGGGGAAAAAGCAGAAAGAGGTCACGTTTTTGAAACCTAGGATCTGGTTTACCTATGTTCCACAGAAGCAGCCTTTAAACATCTCGGACTAAGCTGACTTTGAGAACCTCTGTACAAGACGTGCCGAGGGAAAGGGCTATAGCCAAACAATCCCATTAACTAGAAACCCTTCACCCTCCTCTTTATCTGGGAAAATATTCATCCAAAACTAGGCCTGATATCTAGAGATGGAACGTGCCTAAAAGGTAGTAGTCTTTCCATATTTGAGCCACCTGAGGGCCCACGACTGCTACTTCTGCATACTCCCACCTCATTTCCCTAAATATTAGAGAATATGATTCCTGTGTGTCACGGTTTTGACAAGACCATGCTACTCAGAATATAACCAGGCCTCTAATTCCCACGCTGCCTGCTAAAAGCAGCTAGGATTGGACCATCCGGTCGTCACTCTTTTACAAAGACTAACCCTAGGCTAACCCTTATGTTAGATTCACTCCTGCTGTAGATTCACAGAAGGCTTATTGCAATTCATAGTGGGGTAGGAAATAGAAAGGGGTAAATAAGAAAAAGCTGGACAAAAAGGGACACAGAGATGACATTGTAAAACATGGAAGAGCGAAGGAGGAATGCCCCTGTGTCATGAGTCTCTTCTCATGGACCGTGTAGGTTACACACCAGACTCAGAGGTGATTGAGTTTTCATAAATATGCTCCAATATGATTCCTAAGTGCTGGCAGGCCAGTTATTACATTAGACAGAATCACTCATGGACTACTAATGCTAAGGAGACAGACTCAGATAAAATATACCACATGAAAATAAGCAGACTCACCACAACTGCAGAACATTTTGAAGGAATAAACTATGACCTGATGCACAATGGGGATGTTACACTGAGGACATGGGGATTTCATATGTACTTGGCTAGAGTTCACCAGGACATGGCAGCTCTTTAATGGGAGTATCTGGGATGCAAGGGCAGGCACATAGAGGGTCCCTCCTCAATGCGACTGTGTTAAAGCTGAAGGGCTTTAGGATAGAGGCCTGATCCTGAGGACCATGACCTAACCTGGATGGATACAGTGGAAGTATGTCACCAAGTGTTTGGCTTGGAACCTTGTTCCAGACACCTCCCCACCTGTGTTTGCTTTCTGGCCATCAGAAGTATGCAGTTCTGCTTCATCGTGGCATGCCATGAACGCATGGCCACATGAGCTCAGAAATATCAGATCCACACAACCATAGACTGAAAGAAGTTAAACTAAAGCTCCTGTCCTTGCAAGAAGGATGAAAATGGAAAAACATGTGGGTCATGGGACAGGAAGAAGAGGAAAACCCTCAGAGAGAACTCAAAGCTGCCAATGATCCTTTAACATTCTCATAAAATAAGCGACTCTTTCAGACAGCCTACTTCTCTTGTGAGCAGATTGACTGGCAATGGGTGAGCATATAGGCTATGCTATTCAGGGTCATGTGTTTAAAACCACATGACAGATGAGTGGATTCTCTCTGTATAATGTTCAGATCGGTAGCATGAAATTACAGAGAGTAGCTTTTACTAAGAGGCTGCCACAGCATTTTGGAAATATAAGGCATGCATGCTGGCAATGGAGGGTGTGTAACGTCTGCAATTACTCCCAGTGATCAGAACCATCTCTGAATTCCTACCATCCCTAGGCATGAGCATACACAGCTATGGTCAGTCTGTACACTGTGATCTCCTGTGCAGGCCAGTGAATAATCTGAAGGCATCCAGTTCATCTGACAGCTCAGAAAACGCTTTCTGGAGGTCTCACCCAATCAAAGCACTGCCATTTGGACAAAATGATGCTAAAAAAAAGTTAGTAAAAATAAGTCATTAAAAGTCTAATGGACCAGAAAGGATTCAAGTGTCCACATGTTTTAGACAAACCAGCAGGCAACATAATTTTTTTTATTATAACAGTTGAAAATCCCTAATGTGAAATGCAAAATTAACTGGGAACAAGACTCATCCATTAAAAGCCCACCTAATGTCTAAATCAAGGACAAAGCTTTTAGTGGATGTCAGAGGAGGTGGGTGGAGGAAGCTGTTGCCCACTCTTTGAATCTATGGTAGAATGTACCAGCAAGTTCATTTCCTTGAAACAATCTGAGGTATTGTTGGAAACTAAGCTTAGCAGAGATAAAAAAAAGGAATTTAAAAGTAGTGTTTTAGCTACCCACCCCACAAGCCAGCACCTCACTGAGAATTTGTACAATTCTGAACACAGTATCAACACAGGAACCTGGGAACCATTTATGCTAAGGATGTTCTTGAGCTCCCACCTAACTTAGAGTCTAGAAGTCACAAAAACAAAAAAAACTATCCATTATTCTGGCTCAGAGCAGAATAATGTTTCTAAATTGAAATGGAACATTTGGGTCTTAAACCAAAATAAAAGTTAATATTTATAAAGAATGACACATTTCACTGTCATGTTTTAGACATTATAAGGTATGTACAGCAGGTATTAGATCATAGGTTGAATGTAACATACATATAGTGGTGTATTTAAACCTATATAGACAGGATTTGTCCTGTACTTAATACGACAGGTTTCCTCTTTTTTTTTTTTTAACATCACTATGTCTAAGTAAGTACCAGACTGGAAAAACGCTGCCTCAGAAAGTACTTTACAGGATCTCTTAACTATTGCTTTGTGTTTGTTTCTAAGATGGAGATGAAATTTTATCAGTAAGCCCTGTATCAGCTAAGCTACAGCACTGTTCACCATTTCCTGTCTTGTCTGTGCGCTGTAATGAAAAGACAGATCATTGGTCTTATTCTTTAGGTCAGAAAGCACGTCTCCCTGTCTGCCTCTCTGTCTGAACCTAGAGAAGGAGAGCAGTGGACAGCAGAAAGTCAGGAGCCGGACCTCCTGTCTGGCTCCCGTTTGTGCCTTCCATATGACCTCCTCTACAGTCTGCAGAAGTTTCCAGAGCAAATGAGATTAATCACTTCACCTCGTGGGTATCAGGGCAGCAGAGCTTGGATACCAAGAACTACACTCATGGGAGCGGGAGGCGGAGTCCTGGGATGCTCTCTAACTTTCCTTTCACAGCATATCACTGCATTGACTTGGACAGAAAGACAGAAAATCCTCTATACCAATGGGAAATCAGACTCTTTTTTCTGCCTTACTGTTTAAAATTTTATCTCCTCAAATTATTAGCTTATTAAATGTAAAAACAGACTAGATAGGTATATTTTTAACCAACTATATAGAAAATAGTATTTAAAAAATATTAGGACTGAAATGTAAATAAAACATCCAATAAAAAAAAATATTAGGACTTAAAAGACAGATATTTACTCTGTAGGGTTTTGATGGTTAGTGACCCTCCACCCCAGTATAAGAAAGATGGCTGAGTCAGACACAGTAAAGAAGACAGCAAGCAAGTTCCATCAAGTCTCTGCTTCAAGTTCCTGCTTCTGGGTTCCTTTCTTGAGCTCTTTCCCTGACAACCGTTCGTTCTAGACTATGAGCAGTAAGAGAAAATCAATTCTTTCCTCTCTAGGCTGAGAGTGGGTTTTATCACAGCAATAGCAAAACAGAAACTGATACCAGGAAGTGGGCTACAGCTGTGAATAAGGGCGGAGCCTAGATGTTCACTCTTCACCTGCCAGTAACACGTACTTCTCTGTCAGAAAACCCTCATGTCAGGTGCACCGTACCTGCTCAGCACCATGGACAAGCCTGCTTACAGACTGCAGTATGCAGCCTAAGAGCATGTGAAACTATCCCTCCACAGTGAGTCACAAAGAAGCCATAGGCAATTCCTTTAAGAGTCTCAGGGCCAGGAAGACAGTTCAGTCAGTCGAATAGTCGCCTTGTAAGGACTTGATCCCCAGGACTTACATTAAAAAGCTGAGTGTGCTGGGATGTGCTTGGAATTCCAGCATTTGGGAGGCCCAAGCCAGTGAGTGAACCTGTCTCATAAAGGTGATATCGCTTGAGGAAGGATACCCTGTGGTGTCCTCTGGGCCTCAAACATATATGCATATATATGTGCACACAGGTGTGCATGTAACTGCACACACATGAACATGCATAACTGCACACACACACAAAGATACATACTCTTATGCACAGACATACAAACACACAAAGACAAGACCCTGGAGACCAGAAAATAAACTGATGACACAGAAAGCCACTGTACCTGCTCCTGAAAGATCCTGGCCAAAGGCGCACAGTCAGTCAGCTTAATGAATCGTACCACATCCGTGACCGACCACTCCAGTGGGTTGCTCTCAAGAATCAGTCTCTCCTCCTCTGATTGCCTTGAATCCTGCAGCGAAAGGGGCAGGGCACTGTCATTGCACACTGTGGGCCTAGCTGTATCATCTTAATAACCTCTGTGCCTCCACACTGCTGGACCAGGACTCCTAGCTCTCTTGGTTTCTCACTGGGCACGCGGACAGAATTCAGTCTCTACAAACTTTCCTAGCAATCTGACGCTGGTGACTTCTACACCTGCAATGATCTGGGTATCTTCAAAAGCTCAAAACCATTAACAACAGAAGGTACAGCAGGACTGGTGACATTACTCAGTTGGCAAAATGCTTGCCATCCAAGTCTAAGGACCTGAGTTTGATCACCAGATTACACATTAAGAAAAAAAAAAGTGGTGGGGTTGAGGAAGTGGAGGCAAGAGGATTCTGGGAGTTGCTGCCCAGACAGACTAACCAACTACTAAGTAAGCTCCAGGCATGAGATTGCCTGCCTCACAATTTTTTTTTTTTATAAAAAAGAAGAAAAAGAGTGGACGGCTCCTAAGAAACTGCATCTGAGCTAGATCCCTGGCCTCTAAGCACACCTATAAACATGCACCCGCCCTACCCCGTTTCTGACGAACCATCTCTGATTAAAATGTGAACACACAGTAAGGAGCACAGTGGGATGCATGCAAGACAGCTCACTGTCGCCACTGGCTTCTGTGATAATGGCACCAAGGACTTTTGCAGCAGTTCATATATCATCTATGGGTTACAGGAGTGCCAAGCATGCTAATTTAATATATTATGATGTGAGAGAGATGTCCCATACAGGAGAGAAAGAAATGGAAAATTCAAGTGTGGAAATGGAACATGTAGAGATGGAATTTGGGGATCCAGAATTAGAGATTGGACCCTCCCCTTCACCTGACCAGAAGCTCTGGAGACACCCAGAAATAAAGACATTATTCCAACCCTGGGAACTCCTATCTGAGAAAATCATTCTTTTGTCCTTGGACTTGGGAATTTTGACAGAGCATCTCTGGTTTTCCTGGACCACAGCCGTAACTCTTCCCCACGTTCTTAAAGATGAACTCTCTGAACTCACCTCTGATTTCTCAAGCCTAACAAGTGGACCCTTGATTCTGTTATTAGAAGAAGTAGTAGTTGGCACTGAGCATACCCTCCGTGCCCTGCCTGCTTTAAGCTGGTGGTTCACAGCCTCTGAATTTTTCCTCAGGGTCACAGCCCTCCGTGGCCGGGCAAAGGGCACCACCTCTGCTGCTGAGGTGTTTGTCTGGTAATCCTGGACTTCATAACTCGTTTCCTCACTTGCAGTGTCCAGGGCATATGGATCGTCCTCTTCAGTTTCCTAAGGGGCAGAGGGATGTGCTTAGTGGGGGTGGGTTGAAAGGGCCTTGAGTGACCACAGTGTGACCCTTACCTATAGCCACACTGCCAGGGCCTGATGCCACTTCATTTCCTTCCCAGAACAAAGCTCCTAACAAGGTTTGTCCACAGAGGCCCCAAAAGAGATCCCATGATACCAAAAAAAAAAAAATCTCCTCACACAGACATCTCCTAATCAGTAGATGAACACGTGCAATTGGTTCTCAGTAGGGAGGGAGGGAGGGAGGGAAGGAGGGAGGGAGTGAGTGAGAGAGAGGGGGGGGTGTGGTTTAATAGGTAAAATGCTTGTCATGCAAGCATGAGAACCTTGGTTTGATTCCCCCAGAAACCATGTGGAAAAGCTAGGAATCAGGAAGGTGGAGCCAGGTGGGTCCCTGGGATTTGTTGGTCAATCAGCTTAGCCAAAAATGGTGAGTTCTGGGAAAAAGGAAGAGACCTTACCTCAAAAACAACAGCAGACAAAACAAAAACTCAAGGTGGACCCTGTCCCAAGGAATGACAACTGAGGTTAACCTCTGTTCTTCACATGCAGGCTTGTGCACACGTGCACACACACACACACAAACACACACCATACCAACACAAAGTTCAAGGCCACTCTGAGCTACATAAGGAAATATTGTCTCAAAACTACAAGGGCTAGGTTATAGCTCAATGGTAGAACGCTTGCCTAGCATGCACAAGGTTGCATCTGATCTCTCGAATCCCCCAAAACAACCAAACAAGGCAGGCAAAAGGGCACGCTGCACAAACCAGACAACATGATTTTGATCCTGGGATCCCACAGTGTGAGGAAACAACAGACTCTCAAGAGTTGTTTCTACCTTCCACAGGTGTAGCACAGCAAGCGTACACCTGCGTTCTCATACTCCCTGTCCTCTCCCCCTCCCCTTCTGCCCTCTGTGTCTTGCTCCCACGTACACATAAATAACTAAAAAACAGACAAAACTCTTCCAGCCAAAGCCCTTTAAGGACAGTGTACCTGCACCGAGCTCACGGGGATGCCCACAGGAGAAATTTTCCGCTTCTTCTGAACATAGATTGATTTTCGTCGTCTCCTTCTCTTGCCTGGTTTTGGTGCACCTTTGATGTTACTGTCTCCAAGTGGATTTTTAATGATCCTCCTTCTTTTTCCATAATAATAGGCTACAGGGAGAAAGACAGTTTTACTGAGAGTATAGCCAATGATGGGTTGGTTCATCATAGAACCATACTGCCCACAGGGAGATCACTGGCCTCACTAGCCCCCATTCTAACCAACAGCTATTTTGATTTGTTTGGGTTTTTTTTCCCCTGCCACTGTACCTCAATTTCCAGTGACAGCAATATTCACTCGGAGGGATCTTAGCCTTTTGAAAATTTGGTGAAATGAGATCCAGAATCATCTTTTAGTTCACTTGCAAGTCACAATGCTGACCCCATCTGCCTTTTGTCCAGGGACTATAGAAGAACCTATTTACAAGGTCAACATTCAAGCCAACTGAAGTCCTCAGTCAGTTACCTTCAGGAGCAGTAGCTGCCCAGTGACTCTTGCTGACCCTTGTACCAAGGTAAGGTATTGTAGGAATGAATAAGGAGGTGTGAGCAGTCATACTGTGAACAGTATCTTGACTGTATTCATACCCCTGGTTCCAACAAAGCAGTTGATATACCACAGGTGGCTGTGGTTCAGAGCACTGACCACACTGTGTGGGTCCTTCAACTCTAGGTGGCTGGAATAGGCTGACATAGCCAACTTCCTTGTCCTAGCCCCAGAACTAGAGATGACTAAGGGGAGATTAGGAAGCTCAGAAGCTGGACACTGGAGTTCTCAGAGCTGGGGATGTCTAAGGTAGATGTTTCTAGAGGCTACCAGGGTAGAAGAAAAAAGTTCTCAGGATATAAGAAATGAACGGCAGTGGGAAGCTGCCTGTGTAATGTCTCTCAGTGTGGTGGGGGACACCAGTCACAAGCATTACAGGTTGGGAAAGTGGGACCAACTCAGAGTCCTGCACAGCAGTGGCAAAGCAAAGGCAGCTAGGAAGGAAGGGAGATGGCTTCTGAATCCTCTGGTGATATGCCTGAGAGTGCTGAGGGAATTATCTAAGCAGAGGAGAAACAGACAGGGTCCTTCATGCAGAAGGAAAACTTCCCAGAGACTTTCCCACTTGGGAGGAAAGAACCACTGGCCAGCATTGAAGGACTCATTCATATCTGTAATTCCAACACAAAGGGCAGTGCAGGAGGAGCTCTGAGAGTGTGAAGCCAGCCCAGGTTACATAGTGAGTTTTAGGCTAGCCTTGGTTACAAAAACAAAAACAAAAAAAAAACAAAAAAACACACACACACACACATCTCAAAAACAAAACAAAGAGAACCCAAAAAAGTATTGTCATTACAAATCCTGGGTTTATACCAGGACAAGAAATTAGTTAGAGTCCATAAAAATGACTAATAATCGATTTATAACATGCTTCTTTCGTGCACACAGCTTAAGAATCAGTTGGTCCTCTAAAGTTCTCACTTCTTTTTTCCTAAAACCTTCTAGTGACAATCCCCTCCCCCATGTTTGCTCCACCCCGTTCCCTTCTTATATCAGGCGAAGACATACATGGATCGGCAACAGCAAATCTTAAAGAGTTCTCCGGGTACTCACATGAAGAACTCTGCAAAGAGTTAAAAATAAAAAACAAGACAAACAAATAGACAACAACCAAACAACCAAATGAACGAGCACCCAGGTGCAGCCCAGATGCGCTCAGGCATGGTGGGTGCCTTTACTCTGTACTCACTGTATTTGGTTTTGGTATAGACAGAACAATTCTCCGGGCAGGTGTCAGAGATCAACACAGGACTGAATAGGTTCCGACAGCATTGCAGCTTGGCACAAATTTGGTGGCAGAAACTCAACACTTGGTCTGCTCTCTGCACAATCTTGACCATGGCCCTGTATATTTTGCCTCGGTATCTGGACAACAGCAGACAGGGTAAAAATGTGAGTTCATTTCCAGACTGTTGACTGGCAGGTGTGCCTAACCTTTCGGCACTGTGACAGATAACAGATACTGTCACCTACCAAGTTCACACTTGAGAACTGCACATGAAGCTATTTGTTTTTTTTTTAATCCACTTTTCCAATGGCATGATGGTATGGAGAGATGGCTCAGAGCCTCTCTTAGCATTGGCTGCACTTCAGAGAATGAAGGCTGGGTTGCCAGCACCCACAAGGTGGCTCACAGCTATCTATAACTCTTGTTCTAGAGGGTCTTACCCCCCCCTCTTCTGGCCTCAGAGGGCATTGCAGGCATATGGTACACAGATGTACACACAAGCAAAACACCTATACACATAAAATAAAAATACATATTTTTGAAAAGAAAAATCGCAAAGTTTCAAGTAAGTTTGTGATTTAATGTTGGGCCTCATTTATAGCTTTCCTGGGGTGCATGCAGATTACAGGCCCGGGGCTGGAGACACACAGCATTGTTAAGGTTTGAATCTGAGGTGTCCCCTAAAGGTGTGAGATGTATGAATGCCAGCCTTGGGGGCTTTGGGGAAACGACTGCATCATGAGGTGTCTATTGATCAGCAGAGTGACTTCTCAGTTGATTCATAAGTTGATGGCATTACTGAGAGAAGCTGGAGACTTTGGGGGCGGGGCCTAGGTGGAGACAATGAGTCACTGGGATATGCCTCTATTTTGTCCGTGGTCCCTTTTGCTCATTTACACAGTCTCCATGAGGTGAGTGGCTCTGTGCCACTATGCTGCTATGCCACAGACTAAAACTTCAGAATCTCCAAGCCCAAACCAGGGCTTCCTCTCACACCCTCCTTGGGGTGGACATTCTGTCACCTCAACAGCAATAACAAAAACAGACCAGCTCAAGTGTACTTCCAAAGCAAGATTCTATTTTCTAATAACAGGGCACTGTGTGTGGCTTCGATTTTCTCTTTCTACTTTCTTATCATCTCATTGGGAATAGGTTGGAGAATTATTCTCTGGTGGGCACAAAGAGCATGGTAATAGTACTGAACCTAAAGATTTCTGTGTGATGGATTCTCACCATGTTATACATAGCCTCACAGCCTGGCTTAGGGTGGCATAGTCTATAGTATGGTAGGGTACGGTACGGTGAGGTATGGTACGGCACAACCTAGATCTAACCATCATGGTCCTCAGAATGAAGCCAATGAGATCCAATGGGTATTCTTTAGTTTTTGAAAGGGTAAGTGCATACTAGATAGTGAATATGCTTTGAAAAGCTATGCAAAGTCAAACCATTGAAAATGACATCCTTTATCAAGATAGCACAGCGAGTTGTTGAAATGGGGGACAATCTCCATAGTTTCTAAATGGCATCTGCGCAGCATGGTAACCAGACAAGGTCCCAATCAAGAGAAGCATATTTAAAAAACAAAAATCCTGTAAAATCATCCTTGTACTCGAGAAGTCCTGGGACTAGGGAACACCAGCAGCTTCAGTTCCCACAAAAGCAAAGTGACCAAAGCAAGCTACCATCAGTGATAGGCTTCTGTATGGTAGAAGTCTCAAAGGATCCATACAGAACAGCAAAGCCCTTCCCCATATCCTGATCGTTAGGGTAACCATCTCTGTCTCTGTCCAGGCTGCCAGAGTGACAGGTGGCTCCATAAAGCCGCTTCTAGAGGCATCATCTACTCTTGTCCTGCCCACCGTGGTTTTAGTTCACTCTCCAGAGAGAAGTGCAACCAATCCTTTCTTGAAATGTGTACTGGGGACCCAAATCTCAAACAGATGAGGTAACAGAGCCCAGAGGACATGTTCAAAGGATGGATACTCTAAGATAAGGACACCATTATGTTCAAAATCGGTAGGTAAAACTCTTGATTCAGGGATGGAGTGATGGATGACCTGGCAGTTAAGAGTGGGAGCTGCTCTTGCAGGGAACCCACCTTCAGTTCCCAGTACCATCAGGCAACTTACAACCCCTTGTAACTCTTGTTCCAGCATGATCCAGAGCATCTAGTCATCATGGGCACCTGCATTCATATGCACATATTGCCCTGTCCAAGTATGCACATATTGAAGGCAATAAAATAACGTTCTTAAAACCTTGATCTGGATCACAAAGACAGATGTGATCAAAATAAAGATGGGGGGGGAAGAAAGCTACCAGGTAAATTTAATCATTCAATGTCTTCCTGAAGTCCCCAGTGTTTTCCCTAAGAAGTCATTCTTCAAAGTCTCAACAGCAAAACAAGCAAACTCTGACTTGAAAAGGTAGTTGGAATTTATTCTCCGGCCTTTCATATCCCAGCATCCCTGCCCTCTTTCCTCTTCAAACCCTCTGATGTGTGAGGTTGGCTTTCTGTATAGTAAGAGCTCACATCAGTGCTTTGTAGACAAAGCCATGCTTTAAATCTGATAGCTTTGCTATCAATGTTGATTTATTTCCCTAGAACCTTCATGAACCTTCTGTAGAGAGCTAGCTCTCTCTGTGGCCCAGGCCAGCTGCTGGGGTGCCCTTTGAAGGGAGAAGGTCCTACTTTCTACTGTTGTTGCATTTCATGACAAGAATAGCCCACTCTGAGAACATGGCACATCCCCACGTTTCCGGGAAGCAGGGGATATAAACTTTTTATGGGTACAGTTTTTTCCCTGGTAAGTTTTGTCTTTACCTGTTTGTGGCCCTCCAACTCTGCTTGAAAGACCTTGGTATCAAGAATCTTAATTCTCTTAGACATGACACCAAGAGCAGGAGAAATGTGAACACCAGGTCAGATACCAAAATGGGGAAGGAGAACTCAAAGATATGGCATGTGAATTTCCCAAACCTACAGTGAAGAGGCATATCAAGAGACACAGGCAGAGCGGGGCCACTTCCTGTGGCCAAGGGAAAAGCATCTCTTTTCCCTCCCCATGTCAAGGCAGGTTCCCTGGATACAGGAGCTCTTTCTTTTGTCTTAGTAATGTTTAAAAGTGAGCGCACAAAGTTAGGGGCTTTATTAAGACAACCGCATACATACGTCATCATACTGTCTTATAATGAAGCGAGTGCTTTACTAAAACCTCCCATAATTTGGAAAAGCCCATCTAAATGTACTAAATAAGAATTAAATCATAGTCAAATAATGATTTTTCCACCACATGTCTGTTTAGATGGTGGAGGTGGAAGGACTGAGCAAGGAGGGTAGAATGTCTGGGGAGAGGGCTATAACCCAACAAGACACTATTACTCTGGGAGTCTAACTGTATCAGTTCAGGGCATGGTACTGCAGGCACACAGTATTCAGCCATGGCTCAGAGTCTGTCTTAACTGTGCAGAGTTGCCAAAGCCTCTCCTAGGACAGCTCCTACTTAGCCATCAACTGTGGAGGAAGCAAAAAGGGAGAGGTGATTGGGTTCATGATAATCAAGTTTGCCTCTCTAATCTCAGAGCTGCCCATAAGATACCAATGGCAGGAAGACCTGCAGGTCTCTGGACACAAGGTCCTTCCTTCCTAAACTGCTTCTTACCTGGTGTGTTTACACCAGGTTTCCTGCTGTCAGAGGCTGGGGCTGCCAATGTGACAAGGCCAGGGTGACACTCCAATGGTGGGCCAGGACAAGAGTCTGGCTACAGTCACCTCTGGCTGGCATCTGAGAACCTGGGGAAGAGGGCCCTCTCCCAGGCCAGGTACAAAGCAAATATCAGTGTCTAGAGAAGAAGCAAGAGCATAGCACAAACACTGTATAAGAGTCACAGAAAGCTATTCTTAGGGTCTTACTGCTTTAAACCCCAGTCGTAACACAGAAATGATGACACACACATAGAGAAAAGACACACATACTGTAACACACAAACACACACACACATGCACGCTGCTACAGTTGAAGCCAATGGCCCCAAGCTTGTTAAGCAAGGGTCTCCCTGAGCTATATCTCTAATCCACTCACTGCTAACACTCACTCACATCCCCAATGGAGTAAGCTCCTCCGTCGGTCAGGGACTGGCTTGTGTTCAGTTCATCAGGTGTATTTCTAGGAGTGCAAATTATGACACCCTAAGCCAGGCAAGTAAGAATTAACAAATGGGCACAAGTCTCTTACAGTGAACATCCTCTCAGTTTGAGAATCCCTTTTCTCGGATTCCTACAGGATGCTGCAGGATTTTCGCCTTCTGTTTATAACATACAAGCTTGGGAAATATCCAAAGGAGACAAGATGGTAAGGACTCACAAAGCTAGCCACCAACTGTGGAAGAGGCCAAAGTACTCTACAAAGTTAGCACAACTCCCAGAAAGACAAAGTCCGATGTAGCCCTCCTGCTTCTGCCTACAAGATAATAAGGAGGGGCAAACCTGCAGCAAAAGCCAGAGCGGTGGAGGATCTGTAGATCTTCAACCCAGCTTCCCCAAAACAGGCTCAAAACCATTCAAAGAAAGGATAAGATAAAAAGCAACTTTACAATAGGCTGGAAACATTTCAGTGTTTCTGGATGGACAATTGTTTTAGAGTCAGCTAAAGCAGAGAGTAAAATTCCCTGGAGAGATGGGTCAGCGGTTAGGAGCACTGACTGCTCTTCCAGAGGTCCCGAGTTCAATTCCCAGGGACCACATGGTAGCTCACAACCATCTGTAATGGGATCCGATGCCCTCTTCTGGTGTGTCTGAAGACAGCTACAGTGTACTCATACATATAATAAATACTAAAACAAAACAAAGCCTCAGAATAATGTAGGTAGCTTGGAATATTACATTTATCAGAGGGAAATTTCCTGCTACAAAATGTCTGTAATGAATGTTGTCAGAATATATTTTCCCCTTGTCAGTAAGGAGGTCCAGTTTTCAGTCAGGTGCCCAGGAACAATGATAAAGCAAACATCTTACAGGTTGTCCAAACCCTGCAACCATTTCCTTAGTAGTGTGAAAGGCAGGGTTGATGGGAAAGTAGAGAAAAATACTGACAGACCCCTGCATGGGATCATGCTGGGTTTCATTTTATTTACATGTCAAAGATCTTCTAGAAGACACCTTTATCTTGTCAGAAAAAGCATTCTTTATTCTTTGAGAAAAATACACACACACACACACACACACATACACACACACACGAACAGCACATGAGGGAGGGAGAGAATTCACTCTCTGGTACAGCCACAGGTAAGTTGTTCATATATCTATAAATATCTTCCTACCCAGGAGCCTTTAAGCAACGCTAATGAAACTCCCAGGGTCATGAAGCTAGAGGAGGCCCAGGAGGAGACGGGAGGAGACAAGGAGGAGGGAGAGGAGGAGGTAAGAGTAGCTGATCACTAGCTGGGAAGAAGGGGATCTGAGGAATGGGTGGGGGATAAGAACATGGGGGAGGGGAACACAATCAAAACACCTTATATACATGGATGAAATGTCACAATGAAACTAGTTAGTATGTATAATTTATGTATGCTAATAAAGACATTTTTAAAAGAAAAAAAACAAAACAGTGAGCAATCACAGAGGTCAAGTGACAACAAGCACTGTCCCCCTGGGGAAGGGGCTATCCCAGGCTCTCAGCTCCTGGAGACACTGTAACATTACAGTTCAGCTCAGACAATGAATGTGGCTACAATCTCAAAGCCCAGGTCTAACCTCTGCTAAATTAATTCATTCACAACAGAGACTGTGCCTGTCTCTCAGTGCCCTGTCTTTCAGTGCAGGGGAAGAGGCTGTCTCACTCTCCAATCATCTCCCATTTGCATGGAGAAAAGCACAGCCACGTTGTCAGGATCTAGAAAGTTATCTTTTGCCATGAGAGGCAAAGAGGTAACACAGCAGACAGGGTTGTCACCGGGGCTCCTGCTGACAGTATGCTGTCATCATTAGCAGCTGCTTAGAGGAGATGCTATGATCAGGCAAGGAGAAACCCTGTGCAGACAGGCATTTCCTCCTGAGAAGATGCCTTGTAAGGTTTTGCTGAGGCCCTCCCTGCCATCCTTGATAGAGGAGGTAATATGTTGCCTTTGTAATGGAGCAGGTTGGAAAGCAAGGTGTCTGTTTCAATTCTATCAGGCTGGATTTAATAAAAGCTCCCATCGACTCGGTAACATGAAAATAAGTGCAAACACTTGCAAAATGAACTCTTCCTGTCAGGGAATAAGTTTCAGGCTGATTTAGGAAGAGCAGTGCTTTTAATGAGATTTAAGATGTTTGTGTTCTGGTTATTTCCATAGCCCCCTAGGTGCCTCTGGGATATAGTGAATGGTACAGGTAAGTTTGAAAGCGGAAAGCAAGGATTTCTCTACCTAAACACTTACTAGAGTCACCCTAATAGGATACTAGATAAAAATGCTGTTACAGCAGACACGCCTCCCCTTATAGAGACCATAGAATATGGAATAATAAAAGGAAAAAACTTGCTTTGTTTCTTCTGTGCTATGGGTGAAGCTAATATAAGTGTTTCTTGAATTAATGCCATGCAATTTTGCCTGTTGTTGCCTTTCCTCTTAGGGAAAATAAACCTTCTCCTTATCATCCTTTAGGCCCTCCCCTTGTGATTGGGCAGGGCATTAGTAGACCATAAATAACTTTTACAGAATTGAAGATGACATGGCTGATCTAAACAGACACCAGGGATGCTGAGTGGGTAGCTGACGAGAAACTGTTCTACCAGCCTCATACATGGTACCGAGAAGAGTCAGTAACCAAGGAAATGATAGTGGCCATGCAACAGTCCCCATCATAGCTTAGACTGAATGTGATGCTGCATACCTGCAACCCCAGCACTTCGGAGGTATGAGCAGGAGGATTAGAAGTGTAAGGTCATCCTTATATCTCTATGGCTCCACATGGAAAACCATGAAAGGTGGTTAAGCCTTCTCAGAAACTAAGCAACACTTAGCACCAGAGTAAGGGACTTTTCCTGGGGCCTCCTCTATAACCATGAGCAAACATGTCAGTATGTCTGCTCTCCTTTTCACAGACGGACAAATGTAAAGCCTTCAACCACACCTACTCAAGAAACTGAGACAGGAGGATCTCAAGTTCACATACATGGCAAATCTGAGCACCTCATCTGTGTGAGATCTGCCACATACTAAGATTTTAAAAGGCTGGGATGCCTAACGGAGGCCCTGGCTCTGACAATCTTACCACAAAATAGGAAATAAAGAGAGAAAGAAGAAGAAAGTGAGGGAAAAGCGAAGCCTTGTCATCCTCCTAGTTCCAAATCAAAGAAGAAAGTTGGGTAATGACACGTGAACCCAGCACTCATGGCCATTCCATTTAACGGAAGCCAAAGGGACGTGTCAGTTTCTTCAACCTTTAATTATTTTTCTATTCCAAACAGAGATTTCATTTGGTATGAATGGGTCACGATAGCAAATACCGAGAGCAGCTGACGAGCATCCTGCAATGGCTGACAGGAAACATCACTTCTATCTAGGATTTTCTCCTTTCTAGTAAGTCACCCATTGGCTTACAAACACAAGTTTTGATTCTGAATGTTTAGCCGTTAAAAGGTATTATTAATTAAGGGGCAGGAGAGATGCCTCCATTGGTAAAATGCTTGCCTTGCAAGCCCAAGGACCCGAGTTCAAACTCTAAAAGCCATGTAAAGAAGCCAGATGGGTGATGCATGCTTGTCCTCCTCAAGCTGGGGACATGGAAACAGGAGGATCTCTGGGGTTTGTTGTTCAGCCAGCCAGCCAGCCTACTTGGCAACTGTAGAAAAATGAGAGCCTCTGTTTCAAAAAAAAATCTGAATGTCATATATGGGTGTTTTTTGACCTCCATACATATTTATACACACATACCTGCACATTATATAATGTGCACACATATACATACAAATGTGTATGCAAGAACACTAGTTAATCAAATCTGCATTTCATATTAGTAATCTTAACGCTTAAGGCAGCTCAGTATATAGCAGGAATGTCACTGTTACAACTTGGATGTGAAATGTCCTTCACGGGACCATTTATTAAGCATTTGGTCCTTAATAAGTTCTATTTTAGGAGATGGCAGAGACTTCAGAAGGTGGCACCAAGCTGGCACAGATAGTTTGCTGTTGGACTGTCTTGGAAGATGATCCCTAATTAGCTCATCTCTCTTTTCTCCTGTCCACTATGATGTTAACAGCCTCTGCCATAAAGTCCCCCTGCCATGACACAGACCTGGAAAGGGAGACAGGTGAGCATGGGCTGAACTTGAACCCAAGAGGAAAAAATAAATCTTTGACTCCCTAAATTGCTTTTATTAAGTATTTTGTTATGAAGATACTAAAACTAACCTAGGCAGAAAGTCTACACATAGCAAATGGAGCTGGGATGGAACAGCTCCATTTTGTCTCTGTTTTCCTGGGAAATAACAAATCAAGGAGTGAGGAGTTTTGAAACAGTAGAAGAAGTATGACCAACTCCCTGCTTCCCAAAACTGAGGACACTTACTTTGCCTTGAGCACCTCCTCCTGGCAATCCCACTCTGGATCTTCCAACAGCTGTAATTCTCTCAACACCCTCCCGGGCTTGTAGGCTGCATTGGTTAACATGGTAAGAATCTGTTGAGAAGAAGACACCACAATGAAGCCCAACTGTGTTAAACTCCTGTTGAATTTAACAAGGATGTGTTGATGGCCCTTGACAAGGGGTTTTCATTAAGTGTGGCAGGTTCTGATGATGTGTGATAGAATTCTCTGTGGGGGAACAGGGAACTAACTATCTTGGAAACATAAAACCTAGCCATGCTGGCACACACACAAAAAAATGGCTCAGTGGTTCATAGTAGGTAATGCTCCTGAAGAGGACCTGTGCTTGGTCCCCAGCACCCATAGCTAGCAGCACACAACTGCCTGCAATTCCTACTCCAAGGGATCCAACACCCTCTTCTACCTTCCACAAACATCTGTATCCATGTGCACATCCCTGAAATGCAACTAATTAAACATAAAAATTAATCTTGTACTTTTGTTTAATGTAACCAATGAAGCAAGCAATGTGTTTGAAGGAAGTCTGCAAATACATCAGATACCTGTAACGAGTGTAATAAGTTCCTAAAAATCTGATAAGGGCTCAATTTATGAACATTTGACAGTGTTCTTGGGTATGTGTTGTAAGCAGTAGTCTGGACCACTTAATACCATCCAATGTCATATTTCTCCAAATAACACACTCGTTTCCAATTTTGAAGTCCAAGGAAATAATGTGTTGACTGCCTACAGCAGAGTGCCCAGAATGACTACATCCATCCTAAGAGCTAAAGGAACAGGTTCTAGGGAAGTGAGGTATTCCTGGTAATTCTCACTGTGCCTATTTACCAAAACAATGGAGGAACCTAGAACCAACCCTGAGCACTGGCCTCTCACTAAGCAAGTCATGATTTACTAAATTTTTTGTGTGTTTTTAGAGACAGTATCTCTTATAGCCAAGGCTGAACTTGAACTCTGATCCTCCTGCTTCTACTTCTCACAGGCTAGGTTTTCCAGGAATGTGTTACCATGCCTATATGACTCTTCACATTCACAAACTGCCATGTGCCAAGCCCCTGTTACCCATATATGTTAAGCAATATGAAGAAGTGAAGCAGGAAATCAGCTATTAAATTCCACAAAATGGCAATCTGTGGCAGCTCCTTGGCATGCTAGTGATACAGACAAGTAGGAGAATTACATGGTATTGCCCCTCCTTAAGTTTAGCCAAGTCCAGAAAAGGTAATAATCAGGTTGAAGGCACACTCTGCATGTGTGGGGACAAAATACAACTGAGAGTGAGAAAAATCGTTCCAAGATGAGTGAGAACAGGCATTACTGCCATGATGTCTGTTTTGGGTGGAAATCAGTCAACGTGAAGGAGAAGACAGGAGCATATTCAGAAAACTATCGACCAGGATGGATACACCCTAAGGACCTCTAAAAACATGAAGCTTTCTCATATTACTTAAAGGGATTGACCTTTCATTTTATACTATGCATGGAGAGGGATGTGGCTGTGTTGGAGAATGCCTGTCACATCAATATGAGGATCAGAATTTGAGTCCCAGCACCTGCAGAGTCAGTTGGAATGGCAGGCACCCATAAGCCCAGCACTAGGAAGGCAAAGGCAGGCAGATCCCAGGAACTTGTTTGCCAACCGGTCTAGACAAATTGGTGAGTTCCAGGTTCCAGGTCTTGGGACTCAGACTCAAAAGCTAAGTTGATAGAGGAAGATACACAAAGATGACTTTTGGCCATCACATGTACTCACACATGTATGTGCATACATCTTCCATACATGTATACAAACATACAATTCACATCTCCTCCCCCTCCCCCCAAAAAAAGAAACAAATTTTATTATACAGTTACTATGGCAATACACTTTGTCCCATGTGACACTCTGCTTTGTTCCAAGGGCCCTGACTATCCCCAACAAGGCACATTTGAACCTAGCGACTAAATGGAACAAGGCAATGCAGACAGTTGTGGGACATTTTGTTTTTCTGCATTAAAACAATCATCTGATTTTTCTATTGCCGTCAGTACAAGTTAAGAAACTGAGCTTAAAAATAAATCTAATTAGAGTTGGCTGCAGTAACACGTAAAGTATTTATCATAAAGCAATAACATTTGAGTTGGTTCTTTTCATTGCGACTAGCGGAGAAAACCCCAGAGCTACGGTGTCATTTGCTGCATATCAGAATGCATTTTGTGACTGTGAACAGAACCAGAACATGCCTTCCAGAGTTTATTTCAGCCTGGAAACAAGCAGCAATTAAATTTGAAAAAGCACCCGATATTGAATTTTTTTTTCTCGTGGCTTTTCCCAATACCAACCCATTTGTGTTCAAATTCAACAAAGTCTCTCTAAAATGTTAGAGCACTGATATGCACAGTGGCTGTGTCCATGATTGCCAAAGAAAATATGGATGTCTCATAAATAGAACGAAGGAGTGGGGGCTGGAGTGATTGCTCAGTGGTTAAAGTGCTAGCCAGGTAGTATAAAGACCCAAGTTTGGATCCCCAGAATCCACATAAATGTCAGCTCCATGTAGCGGCCCACCTATGAGCCCAGCCTCATAAGAGAGAGAGAAGATCCCAGAGGGACCTGGCTGGCCAGACTAGCTGTATAGTAAGGGTTTGATTGTGAGGTGCTGTTTTCATAAATAAGGCAGAAGAGCTGATAGAAGATTCCTGATATGAATCTCTGGCTTCCACATGTAATCCAGCACACATACAAACATGCATATATGCATATGCACTCTTAAATATTAACACACAAATGAAAGAATGAGAACTAAGTTCTTACTTAGATAGCTGTTATCACTGGGCAGAGTTAAACCAAATGACTTTGCCTTGCAAACTATCAGACTATAATTCAGTATGTTTTCCATAAGAAACTAGAAATAAGCATGAATCCTCCCTCAGCTAAGGAGACTAACAATCAAGTTCTAAGCAACTCCACTTGAAAATGCACACCACAAAGCACAAGCATTGGCATTTGGTATGATGAGAACATGCTCTCATCAGCAAGCTCCTCTCCAATGGGTACCACAGAAAAGCCATGGCCTCTCTAGTCTGGGATCAAACCTCAGTTAGGACTTTGGGCAAGATGACTTTCTCCATTTGCACGTGGAACACTTACACTAATCTGGTCATTTCCCCTACAGCTGCTACCACACAGAGTGCAGCCTCTGTGACCCCACAAGGACAGGCTGCTGACACTTATTCCCCTTCTCACTTTATTCCTGCCACATCAGCTGGCGACTGCAGAAAGCTGTCTTAAGGGCTGTTCACTCCTCTTGCAATGAGTTGGATCTGTAAGGCCCCAAAAGGCCTAGGTGTTAAAGGGTTGGTCCCTAGTACTAGGCAGTACTGAGAGGTAGTATAATCGTTAGGTCACTAGGAGCATGTCCTGGAACAATATGGACAGGATGAAGGGATCCTAGTCCTGTCTTTTTTCTCTTCATCACTTTGAATCACTGAGGTGAACAGCTTTCTTCCACCATGTGATCCCTGCCATGATGGGCTACCTCACTAACGAACCCAAAGCAACTGGATCAACTGAATTGCAACTGGGACCTGCAGCAACTCTAGAGCCAAAATATTATTCTTTCAATATGTCAATGGCCTCATCTACGCTATAGTAATGGAATATGACAATATCCAGATAACTCATTCTTTCTCTCTCGTGTCTTCCTTTCAAAAGTCCCACCATAGAAACCTCTTTTGAGCACCTGCCACACAATACCACGTTCCTTCCCTGATGATCAGCCCTGTAACTGATCACTATACTGTTAGAAAGCAGGGACACCACGCTACCATAGTCTCTATAGCTAGAGCTATGAATGGAAGTAGCACATGTCTTATAGATTCCTTAAAAGATTTTATTCAGTAATATAACGGGATATTCCCTCCACCTCTGCTACATTTTACAATAGAACTCAGTAATTTGGGAGGAGCTAATGTGGGAGGAGAGGAAGAGGAGGAGCTAAGAGAGGAGAGATGTAGGAGCCATGGAGAACCACTCGTGGGTCCATAACAGTCCTGGGTAACGATTTATATCATAAGGTTAGATATTGAGAAACAACTCTAACTGTGTGAGCAAATTGTTAATTGAGGATTTCTAAATATATATAAAGCCTTTGGATAATAATTAAGCTTTAGAGTTTCATTTCTACCGGGTACCGCGTGGATGGCGGGATGGCCTGGGCTCAGCCAAGCATTGTGGAGACAACATGGGAGACTGGCAGAGCCATCTCCCACGCTGGCATCTCGTGGGTGCCAGGGCCGGTGCTTCTGGATGGTCAGAACCAAGCAGCTGCAAGAGTGCACCACTGCTCTTGACCTCATGCCTTGCCTAGTCAGGAACATGGCAGCCCCATACCAACAAGCTAGTTTATATTACCCTTAACGCAGTAAATGTCAATATGGACCCAGACGTAAGCTCACTGAAAATTAATGACCAATTTATTCAAAGAGTTTTTCTGAGCCCATATAATGGGGTGAATTGAGGTCCAGGAAGGAAATAGCTTTGAATTCAAATCATCATTGCTACAAAGTCCTCCTCTATGGTACAATTGGAAAGTTCAATGAGTATATCATGTCTTCCATATGGAACAACAATACCACAGAAGCAAAAGCAGCTTGCACTTTTCTTTAGTTGTGTTTCACAGACATTATCAGGCATCCAACAGATGCCTATGTCACAAGCTGTACATGTGCATTATCCTGGAAAGGCTCACCCAAGCCTGCTGCACTATTCTTAATGGGTTGATGCTCAACATGAACTTCTAGCAGAAGCAGCACAAGCACAGCCGAACACCATCAGAAGGCACGTGTGTGCCTCTGCCTTTGATTCTGATGGGTGACTAAGTAGGGTGCCCCTCAACAAGGTCTTTCCTCTTTCTGGTGCCATTGGGAAAAGTCATTACTTGAAGAGACTCACAACAGGTGCTGAGAGTGAGTGAGTGTTGAACAGTTAGCCCCAAATGAGACATTTATTAGGATTCTCTACAAGGCTCAGTAATACTGTGTAAGGGGAAGAGAAAGAATCTAAGAATGGAGAAAAAAGTAGTATTGTGGAA